ATTCCTTCTCTGTTTAAAGTATCCACTGCAAAACTGCAGCCCGTCCCCCCTTCCTACCCAAAATACAACATTTATTTCGTTACAACAGTCCTTTCTATGGCTACGTACGCCGATTGCTGCATAAATGGAGACCTGGCGGTGGGATTTACATTGAGTTCTCCCGAGTACTGCACACTGGGGGAGGGCTGACTCACTACTGCACCAAACGCCGCCGGCTGATGTTGCTCCTTCAACCGCGCAGCCTGTCTAATGCCTGGGACCGAGGCTGCTAACGAGGACAAGGGGGTGGGTCAGTAAACAGGTCAGTAGTAGTAGTTGGCGAGTCAGCGCCGTAAGGAGTGGCTGTTGTGCGTATGCCTGCGTGCGTGCGTACCTGCGTGAGAAAGTTGGGAAGCTTCGAGGGCCAGTCTGAATGGACTGGCAGCCAAGCAGGCAGCCCACAATAATCCCCGACAGGGTCCTTTTTTCGTTCCAACTCCCTCCCCCCACTACGAGCTCGCCTCTGGGGATTTACGTGCTACCGATGACATTCTGCAGACACAGAGGCAACTGTCAGCCATCGTGGGCTTTTTAGACTTCTGACCGCAAGGTGTCTGGCTTCTTCTTTTTCTCCTTCTCCTGCTCCAGCCGTGCATCGAGGACGCAAAGAAAACTCGTGCATAAACCACATTTGCGCATAGGCGGACGATGCACGAGGGGCACATATTTCCCACCGGCGAGCCGCTCGGAGCGCATCGCGCCTAAACAGGTTGCCGTCGCGGCAGAAGGAAAGCCAGTAAGCCACAAAAACCCCCCTTCCGATGACGATTAGTTAGCTGAAGACGACTACTTTGCAAGACCACTTCGAAGCCCACGCGTGCACTCGCATAAAAGAGGAAGTGATTAAACGCTATAAAATAGTTCAGTTGATTTCGGACGAGTGCAATTTTGTTGCAGAATTGATTCACAGCTTATTGTGCAGGTATTTTGATCCTCAGGTTAGTCCACTTAACTTGGATTCAGGTCAAATTCCGACGGGCGAAAACTGTCAATTGATATAGGCAGCATTGTCTGCGGTTTTGTTCAATATAATAATCGAAAAACAACTATTGGAGGTTAGACCATGCCATTTTTATGCCGAAATTACTGTAAATCTAGAAAAATTTAAAAAATCAGTGTCAGAATATTCTCTCAGATTTAGCGTTTGCGAACTTCGAGCGGACATAAGGGAGCCCGAAAGACAGGTGATTCCAGCAAACCAACGACTGTCCACAGGAAGTAATATTCCCAACAATTGTGTGACATCGGAAATACGAGACCCCAGTGCTTCGAGGAAGGTTCACTACGGCATACGTTCATGTACGGTCATAATATGCGACAGTTTTTAAGTAGAATATTTCGTAACATCAGGTTCATAAATAACTGGACGAATTAGTCAGAAGTCAGCAGTCAGAAGTCCATGAAACAACGATAGCATAGCCACATTTTGTAAAAATGTCCAAATGGAATCTTAACAGTAAATAACTCCTTCATAGGCTATTTAATTTGACTGGAAGGGTCTTCTACGTACAGCCAAAACTGTACTATTTTGTCATTTTAAGTAGCACATATGAGTAAAGCAATTACCATAGGACAGACGAAACGCGAAAATCAATGCACATTCCACGCGAAATTTAATTTCGAACCCTTCATTTCTAACCACTTTTTGCTACTCGAAAACGATTCCAACTTTTAAATGATTCCACATCCTGGGCAATTTATCAGCATTCACGTACCTAGCCTGAAACTGGAATTAGCATGGTCCTATTATCTCAAAATGGCTTAGAGCCCAAGAAATGGATATTGACTTAGATGGTCTCATTGTGTGGAAGACTTTGTTCACCGGCAGATGTTTCGACGTGAAAAAAAGCGAAAAAAACCTCCATATACTTGTGATCAACGTGCTCCCCAGTGTTTGCAAACAGATGATCCATCGGGAAGGCAGTTTGCGAAGTTTAAAAGCGAAATACTACAAAATTCAGGTTGTCACTTCAGTTCAGTATCACCTTTCAGAATGGGGAATGCGAGATGGGGATATATTTTATCGGTCAATTTCACCTAATGCTAGTAGTTATTGAGCTGCCCTAGGCTTTTGGGCAAAAACTGTAAGAAGTCCTTAGTCGGCAAAAATTTGTAACTATTTTTACGGGCTTGTCTTGTGCACATTGACGCCGGAGTAGTTGCGTGTTACACAGAATCGTATGGAAGTGGGCGAGGTTCGTTTAGTAGGATGTAAGTCAATGAGTCGTGAACGTGGTTTTTTTTTTCAAAAATTTCGTGTGCTTCATATTGTTTATGAGAAGATAAACTGCAGCTGTGTTTCAGGAGCTGAGGAGAGATCAGTGCTCAGTAGGGCAAAACTATTCCAAGGATTTGTCTTGAGGAATCCAATCAATACAATGTTTGAAGTAAGGGCTGCTCAGAAACTTAAAACAAAGAGACGCAAAGAAATTTGGTTGCAGAAAACACTTAACTGCGTTCAATGAATGCATAGGTTCGTGGGTGACGAAATTGCAACCGATAATGTGCTATATTAAATTAGCAGAAGTGAAAATTCCGATAGAGTAGTGCACAAACGTCAGTCTTTGCCCACTGATTTACCTAGCTTATTTTGTTTTATTATTTAAAAAGGCTAAACTGTAAATTCATGCCAAACTGTCTATGCTTCTCATCATATTTGCCCTTACTACGTAGAGAACGCGTTTATCCCTAACCAATGAGGCACTCCAGTACAATGCTGCCTCGACAAGTCAAAAGAGCAGATGCCTCGTTTTCGTTTTAGACAGTTCTCAAAGGGGCAGAAAAAGTATTCCCTTAAGAAGCAAATCCAGGGGCAGGGGGCTGGGAACGAAATATTAATGCTGAAAGGAGTTGCTAGATTTCCGCCAACCCAGACATATAATTCGAGAAACTGACAGACACACACACCGGGCGAGGAGACTACCAGCGAGCAGAGGAGCTGGCATTTTCTACTCGCTTTTTTATAATTGGACAAAATTACGCCAGCGAAAATCGAAGACCTAGCGCTCTGCTCGACCAATCGAATGCATGAAAGGCAGACTTTCAGTTAGTGCTTTTTGAGCTTAAATTTTAGCTAAATGCAACGCGCTCAGGGACATTTTTTGCCTGACTTTGAAGCCGGAAGACACTAAAGTAGTTGCCTACACCAGAAACTGAAATAAGTCGTTACTAACGGACATACTTCGTAGTACACATTTTCATTTATTTTTCGGGGTTCTTTTAAATTAGACTTTCGAGTGCACTCGTCTGTTAACGCTTCAATTTTATTGCTACATAGTTAACGAAAGCAATTTATCAGCATTATAACGACCTGTTCTATTTAAAAAAATTGGAGTAGTTATAAAGAAATATGCAGTGAGAGGACCACAAAGGAAATATACTACAAACGAAGGTAATATGAGTGAGGAAGATATGTACCGGATTCTTATGTTGTGGTGGTTAAGCAATGGCTTGTGACAGAACAGATTTTTGGCTACGATGAAGGTAGGTGGACAACAATTGTTGACAACGAATTAATCCCATGATCAGGAACTGGGTATTTCCGCTTTTTAAGATGAATATATAGTTGGTTCCAATAATTAGGCGTTTGCAATAATCACGGCAGACGAAAAACGCATCAAAATGTCTCTTTATGCTGGGTAATTACAAAATTCAAATAAAGGCAGTTTCCTTTAACTAAGTAGCAAGGCAACACTTAGAAGCAGCTGAAAAAGTCAAACAAATCACGTCACTTTGCGCTTTGGGTGATAAAAAAATTTAAAAAGTATTCTTCGCAAAACTTGATCTAGTAACAAAAAACAAGAAGATTAATCATCCCCGCATTCTAAAATGCCCTGCGCTAAATTCCAGCGAGGGTAAACATTCCAGTGCTCATTCCCCAACCCTAAACAGAACTTTAACATCTACCCTGATGTCCCTGTAAATTAGGGCAAGCCCCACGGGAATAGGAAAGGGGCTTATATTTGCACGCCTTGCCAATAAACTGTACAGAATTAATGCGCAACCTTCTATGTTTTAGTCAAGTTTGCGCGACTCCGAAATTCACCTTGGAAGGGAAAAGAAGCCTGAGGCTTGCTTTCTTGCTTGCATAAATCCAGAACTGCACTTGGGCCAAGTGAAACGAACAGTCCATCCAAGTTTACCCGTGAAATGTTCCGCCTAACTTTCAATTGCCTAGATTTAATAGTCTGCCCAAAATCCACGCAAATTAATATTTCCAGGGGATAGCGACTAATCGTTCTGAATGCGCCCTTTCTCTGACAGCAATTAGGCACATTCCAGTGCCATAACAACTGGTGCACATTGTAGACAGTCGAGGATATCGATCAGCCGCACGTGAGTTTACTGAGCGGTAATAGCACGACAACTACGAGGACGTTGAAGAGCTTACTGTTCTAGGGTTGCGCCGCAAAAAACGGTTTCTGCTATACAAACGTATCTCACCTGCACGTGACCAAGTCGTTGATGTAATCTTGTTGGGTCAGTTGGAAAAAGTAGCTCTAATAATTGTGGCTTTCAAACGGTATTCTTAGAATTCATTCTTTGTGATAAAACATACATCCAGGCCAGGAAAATGGAGAGAAGTGTAAACCCTCGAATACTAATTTTCACTGACTATTAAATAAAGTGCCGTAATAAGGTTATCAAAAAACTGCTTTAAAAGTATGGCGTTCGGGTGGATCCTTACATTTTGCAGTCAAAGACGTTGGTCTGGCCTTTACAGAGGAGACGATATCGAATATTTTGGGCAAAAAGATCATGTTTTATGAATATCGCAGTAGTCTGAACAATAATCAGCTTTTAAGTGACTGAGCAGGCAATTCGATGATTCTTTTTGTTTCAAATTATGCCTTTGGAAAGTGACAGCCCCTCTGACCATTGATATGAGTAGAACTAATTCCGTGGATATGAAGTATACTAGGACAAGGGAATAGAAACCCCGGGAATATAGCTGACAGCACGATTAGCGCCGGACTTAAGTTTAGCTTCAGTGGTAAGTTTAGGAGTATGGCTAGATTTGGGTTGGGACTAAAACACAGAAAAAGTTACGCTTCCCGACCATCTGTATTGCGTTTTGGTTGCCTTATGCCCTCTCCTACGAACCTTTTTCCTTCAAATAATAGTAAATTAAGCATGTTTAAAAAGTCCCGAGGTAGGAAGAATAAATCGTAGGGCCGCCAAATGGTAACAGGTGTTGCTCTGATAACGTTCTTGGTTGATAGGCTTCTTTTGCTAACCAATAAGAGTTTTTTTGGTCTTTTTTATTCTTTCCGCATGCTTTTCACCTATTTGTTTAGTTCAGTAAAACAATTATAAGCGTACTACGGACTTATCTCGCGTTAAACACACATTTCCTGAGCCTTTACCCACGAATTCCTTCACACACTCGGGTTGGAAGACTTTTGGCATTGGCCAGCCCTACAATTTATTCCCACCGTCACGAGATTTAATGGTTCCGAAAAAACTGCACCGGAGTGTGTGGCAACTAACTTTTTACCCCTATATCGGAGGTTAACCACCCGGCTGCAGACTAAATATGAGTTTGGAAAGTTGACACTGACGGTTAAACTTAAGTATTTTTTTGATGTATCATTATGAATGCCCAAATGGAATATGTAGTAGCAGCTATTGACGCAAAACCCAAACAACAACAGATGGAACGAAAAACGTTGCAGTTAGGTAGTGTGCGCTGTGTGATTAGATCAGATAGCCGAGCACAGCATTTGCTGCGGTTGTTCCACCATTATCTACGATAAAAATTCTGTCAAATGCGAACATTTTTGTTTGGCCGTTCTTCGTGGCGCGAAACTTTAGCCTAGTGCTTTTTTTAGATAGGCTCGGACTGAACTGCAAAATCCTCGCGTGCGCGAGATGGTGATACAATCAACAGTCAGAAGTAGAAAAAGCATTCACCGGGGAAGGTTTATTTTGTATCTTATGTTTCGGGTAGTTGTCTCTAGTCTACCTATCTTCAGAGATAGAGAATACTCAGGCTTCTGGCTCTCGTTAGATGCCACTCTTTTCTTCCGCGTGTGTATTCTACAAATCCCTGGGTCTACCAATGTACCTGGATAGCGAAATTCAACAGTTTCTGTGAAATCTGCAGTCAGGTAGTGCGCGCCGTGAGAATGGATCAGATAATTCAGCACAGCGATTTTGCTGCGCTTATTCTACCGTTATCTACGATGACAGTTCTGTTAACTGCACACAGTTATCGGCTGGTCGTTCCTCGCGGCGCGCAAAGTTAGTCCAATGAAAACCCCTTGTGTGTGGCAGAAGGTGGTACAGTCAACGGTTTCTGTGACTTATCAGAAGGTCTCCCAGCCAGATCCTTGCCTCGAGCATGTCAAACGACCACCCTCGGAGAGTCATCGTACGCCCTAACTTTATTAAATGACCTGCCGACTATTGCTCCTTTTTTGCTTTTTACGACATTTATTAAAGCTTCTTAAGGCAGTTGACAATTAATTTAAAAAGATAATGCAAGGAATTGTAATTCCAATTGCAGTTCCTTTCATCCTGTATGCTGGCAAAGAGAATAAATTCAGGTATTATTGCCGGCAAAGACAGAGGAGACTGGAATGACCATTTTTGGTTCATAAGCCGTCGTCATCCAGTCATGCCCAGACCCAAGTGGTGCACCACCCAAGGGTAAACGCATACAGTCCATGGATATACAGTCAACGACGAGATAGACGGAAACCTAGGCACATGTCTGCAGAGGGATCTTGTTGAAAACTCAGGTTCGTTGTCGTTTAACCTACCCCAAAGAAATTCTGCGTAAGCCCTTAATGTGGACGCGCGTTCCCCACATTGCGCCTTATATATCCGCGGCACTGACCAACCCCAGGGAGGTTTGTTTGAAGTCTCAGCCTTGGAGGAGAATTTAATCGACCGAGGTAGTGAGCTCATGTCCTCATACAGCCTTAGTCAGTGAGTGGATAATGACCGCTATGACGGCCGTATGATTTACTACGGTTGGTATCGTTGATAATGGATTCATGTGCAAATTGAAACGGGCAGGAAGAATTAACCAATGGCTCCTTTCTTACTCGGATACCGTTTGAACCGGAATGCCCATTGTCACGGCGTACGCTCTGTCCTCGAGATCACCCCTCTTATAAACGAATTATGCGCACAGATAAGTGGATAAATGCAATGGCAGCTCTAGTTCATCGAACAGTTCCTGTTAATTTTGCATAGTCGCAAAGGTGTTAGTATCTTAACCTTTCTCTAGATTAAAACATAGAAGATGAATCTACAGAAGCACTGCAGCCTAAACTAAGATTCCCCGATAATAGGACAAGTTTCACACACATATGTGACGTTATTTACATGCGTCAGCTGTCCTTGTGTTTATGTTTGCCACACAGGCCGCCATCTTGAGACTCGCATTAAGGAACATAAGTTAGCCGTTCGCCGACGGCACCCTTTATCACTGGTATTTGCGCCCTCCTTTGAGCGTGATCATCGCTTCAATGGGAATGACACCGTGGTGATCGCTATGGCTAACACGAGACGAGCGAGAAAATTCCTCGAAGCTTGGCATCCGAGCCTGACCAGCATCAATAGGCATGTAGATCTCAATTCACACTATACCGGTTGGCGCGCATGGTCCCCTGCTAGTATGGTAAATATTACGACGGCTAAAAAGCCAGAAGTGGCCATTCCACTCTCCATGTTTTTGCCGGCAATACTGTCTGCCTATACTACCAACTGCTACAGCTGTCAGAGCCTCTGTCGAGACCCAAGGCAGAGCGGGACAGATGAGTTCCGTTCAACAAAGTGTTACACTTCTGTCTGCCTGTTGCCAGCTTGTAAGTGTTCGCTTTTATATTACGGTGGCGGACAGACCTCGGTCCGTATTTTACACCAAATTTCGGTATGTGCACAGTGGCCTTGAATAAACTGAAAACTTAGTTTATATGGCGCAACTAAGCATGCCCAATTAATTTTCCACCAAAATGCGCCTTCACGATATTGAAACTTCAAAGACAGAAACGGTCAGGAATTTGGTCTGCTCTTGATAGAGACGGCGCTCACCCCGCATCCTTCTCCTACCCGAATGTGTATAGGGACTCAGGGAGTGAATAAAAAAGTATTTGAACACTGTTACACAAAATGTGATTCAGTGATTGTAATAAGGATTCGACTTGTGCGCCATGTCAAAAGCGCCGCACACATGACACAATTTTAATCTCTTTGGGGTATTCTAAGAGTACCGCCTCTTATAATTTCTTGTTGAAAATTCATAGAATAAAACTCGTCATGTTAAAAACCAAGCCTACATATTTTCATGTATCTTCATCGAATATTAACTTTCATAAGGACATCTCAAATCATTTCAAATTTTTAGGGAAATTTTGGATACATTCAAGTGATCTGCTGCAGGGACCTGTTTTGGCGTAAGTATGCAATTATTAAGAAAAATAATTAAGATAAAAGATGGGAGACAAAAAGTAAATAATGCTTACTTTTTATTATTGCCGACATGTCCTCTGAACTCGATGTCCACACGATTTGCATCCATGCCCTTGCAGTAGATATGGCAATCCGTTAGCATGCGTTTTATTGTTTTGTCAGTTGCTGTGGTAGATCCCCGTTTGACTGCTTCACAAAATGCCAGAAAAGTAGCTTCCAGGGATGGAGCCGCAGCGGTTGCTCCCGCATCAGCAGAGGCTGCCATAATTCCAACAGTTCCTAGAAGGTTTCTTTCGAGGTAATGGATCTACAACCTACGCTAGTAGCGTTTTACGAAACACTCTGGCTTCTGCTGGCTTAGCGGTGATGACTATCCCGCGCTAACCAATAGAATATCTAATATCGGCGAAAAAGCAGCCAATCAGGCCCCGAGCACGCGTGTGCAGTAGCGTAAAGTGCGCACTCGCGCAGAGATTTACGTTAATCGCCCTGATTGATGGTGACTACTCGGTATGTGCGCTAAGCTACAGTTTCACGTGACCAACTACCGTGTGACATAAACCTATGCGGAGAAAACAGCTATTTTGCAATAGAACTCCACCCTTCAAAGTTTGAAAAATGTCACTCTTTGTTAGTTTAGAAGTCAAAAGATATCAATCAATAAATTTTGTTGTCCGACTTTTTTCTCCAAATAAGGCACTACATTTTATAGATAATTGTAATATCGTCTGATCAAATCGGACTAAGGCCAATAAAAAGGAGGAGATAACCTCGATATGCACGCATTTTTTCCACGTCTCTCAATACCTTCCAGGGAACTGAGGGAAAAGAAGTTTTGTTTTGCACCATCCATGGAAAACACAGAAACCCAAAGCCTGATAATATAGGCAGGAACATGAACGTATGTTCAGACTCCCTAAGTAGAGGCTATTCCACTGTCAGCTCTACCGGACGAAGAAAATAAAAGTTTGGTGGATCGAGCATCACACTATATCTACCGAAAGAATAGAGTAAATCATTCTGTGCCACTGTCAGCACCCACAATCTCACCGTCATTCATTAAGCACTTGATAAGTCCAGATAAATTCAATAACTCTGCTAGTTGTTCAGTGTTGGGGCATCGTGTTTATCTTACGCCCGTATGAAATCCTCTTGTTGGAGAATATAATAATCCGGCTTACCGCATTTATAAGGTAAATTAGTTGTAAAACTTTGCCCACATAAATCCTTAACAATTGATAGTCTAATTTTAACACTTGATATTTAAGTAGTGGCAATTAACTTTTTTCCATTAACTTTTTTTAAAAATGACTATAATTCAGAGTTCGCCAAAAATATGATACAAAAGTTTAGCTTACAAACCAGTTGGCATAAATGTATGTTAGCGACCATGGACAGAAACATCACAATTGCTACTGCTGACATTCTAATTGTTGTTAATCGATGATATCTTCAATAAAGCAACTGCAAAATCAATGTATACTATTACTCAATAAAAGCGAATAGGCGAGTTCCAGGAAGCAGTTCAGAAGTGGAAATGCAATCGCTAAAACAATAAGTTTATTTGCCCTACATTTCGGATTCTGTCCAGAACGCTTCATCAAAGATAGACGTAGAATATGGTGATATATACACAGATTGGGGTAATATATGCACAGATTTATAGTTTGCAGTGACTACGCGGTTACATGCGCACTACAATTATCAGTGCGGTGATGGCTTGGCAGTTCGCTTTTGAGTCATTAATTGCCGCGATTTCGTTGTCCGCGTTGAATGCGAGCTTTATAACTGTTCGACAATTATATTTGCTG